TTTTAAAAAAAAAAAAAAAACACAATGCGGTGACATTTGTTGTTCTAACATAGCACTTGTTCACGACCCCCTTGCAGAAAATGAGACGAAGTGCACACAAGCGCGTCGTCGCGCGCGCATGCCGAAATCTTTCAAAAACCTTCGGCGCGGGAAGGATTTCGCAATCGAGCAACATGGTTTCGCAACACAGAGTTGCTAAAAAAGCTTCCGCGAAAGCTCTTGCGAAATCTTAAGAAAGCCGTAGGTTTTCCAAGATTTCCACAAAATGCTACCAAACGGGTTTCGCGCGCGCTCATGTCGAAATCTGTCGAACGCCCTTGCGCGTGTGCCTTCGCGAGAATCCCCTGCAACAAATGGGACGAAGTGCAGACGCGCGCGTCGTCGCGCGCGTATGCCGAAAACCTTCAGGACCCATCGGTTTCGGAAGGATTTCAAAATCGTGTGTCCAAAATGCCTACAACAACACAAGGTTTCGCAACACGGATTTTCAACAAAAGCGTGCGCGCGCGCTCTTGCGTCGTCGTCGTCGTCGTCGCCGTCCTCCCTCCTCCCGCGTCGTTGTCGTCGTCGTCGTCGCCTACGTCGTCCTCTGTGTTTCCTCGTGTTCGTCGTCGTCGTCGTCCTCTTTGGCGTCGTGGTCGTTTCCGTCATCGTTGTCGCCGTGGTCGTCCTTCCTCCTCCTCCCTCGTCGTCGTCGTCGTCGTCCGTCGTCGGCGTCACGTCGTCGTCCGTCGTCGGCGTCACGTCGTCGTCCCTCCTATTTCGTCGTCGTCGTCGTTGTCGTCGTCGTCGTCCCTCCTCCCTCGTCGTTGTCGTCGTCGGCGTCGCCGTCCTTCCTCCTTCTTAGTCGTTTGCGTCGTCGCCGTCTTCCCTCCTCCATCGTCGTTGTCGTCGTTGTCGCCGTCGTCGTTTTTTCTCCTCCCTCGTCGTCGTCTCCGTTGGCGACGTCGTCGTCGTCTTCGTCGTCGTCGTCGGCGTCGTCGTCGTCTTCGTCGACGTCGACGTCGGCGGTGTCGTAGTCGGTGTCTGCGGCGCCGTCGTCGTCGTTGTCGCTGTCGTCGTCGGCGTCGGTGTCGTGGCCAAGTGCCATGTGGTACCAACCGTCACGGTCTTGTCTTAAGAAGTCTTGCGACCAAGTTGCGGGTGGGAGGGTGGGATGCTTGCACGAGCAGTAGAGGGGACAGCTTCAAGACGGTCAACGTGGACTGCACCACATATATTCTCCTTTCTAATAGACTCTACCCCCCCCGGACTTATGGGTTCCCCCTGGGACAGTATGATCCCATGTATATTCTGCACACTCGTCCATCCTAAATATGAAATCAGATCATCCCAGCCAAACCGCGTTTCCCCCCCCCCCCTGAGGTTCCCTTGTAAACAGCACTATGCACTATGCGGTGACATTTTTGTTCTAACATAACACGTTTTCACGACTCCCTTGCAACAAATGAACAAATGAGACGAAGTGCACACGCGCGCGTCGTCGCGCGCGCATGCGGAAATCTTTCAAAAACCTTCGGTGCCGGAAGGCTTTCGCAATCGAGTTTCCAAAAAACATACAACAACACAGGGTTTCGCAACACAGAGTTGCTAAAAAAGCCTCCGCGAAAGCTCTTGCGAAATCTTAAGAAAACCATAGGTTTTTTTCAAGATTTTCACAAAATGCTACCAAACGGGCTTCGCGCGCGCTCATGTCGAAATCTGTCGAACGCCCTTGCGCGTGTGCCGTCGCGAGAATCCTCTGCAACAAATGGGACGGAGTGCAGAGGCGCGCGTCGTCGCGCGCGTATGCCGAAATCCTTCAAAACCCATCGGTTTCGGAAGGATGTCAAAATCGCGCGCCCAAGAAACCTACAACAGCACAAGGTTTCGCAACACGGATTTTCAACAAAAGCGTGCGCGCGCGCTCTTGTGTCGTCGTCGTCGTCGTCGCTGTCCTCCCTCCTCTCGCGTCGTTGTCGTCGTCGTCGTCGCCTACGTCGTCCTCTGTATTGCCTCGTGTTCGTCGTCGTCGTCCTCTTTGGCGTCGTGGTCGTTTCCGTCGTCGTTGTCGCCGTGGTCATCCTTCCTCCTCCTCCCTCGTCGTCGTCGTCGTCGTCCGTCGTCGGCGTCTCGTCGTCGTCCCTCCTATTTCGTCGCCGTCGTCGTCGTCGTCGTCGTTGTCGTCGTCGTCTTCCCTCCTCCCTCGTCGTTGTCGTCGTCGGCGTCGCCGTCCTTCCTCCTTCTTCGTCGTTTGCGTCGTCGCCGTCCTCCCTCCTCCCTCGTCGTTGTCGTCGTTGTCGCCGTCGTCGTCCTCCCTCCTTCCTCGTCGTCTCCGTTGGCGACGTCGTCGTCGTCTTCGTCGTCGTCGTCGACGTCGGCGTCGTTGTCGTCTTCGTCGTCGTCGACGTCGGCGTCGTCGTCGTCGTCGCCGTCGTCGTCGTCGTCGTCGTCGTCGTCGTCGTCGTCGTCGACGTCGTCGTCGTCGTCGGTGTCGTCGTTATCGTCGGCGTCGTCATCGTCGTCGTCGTTGTCATCGGCGTCGTTGTCGTCGTCGGTGTCGTCGTCGTCGTCGTCGGTGTCGTCGTCGTCGTCGTTGTCGGCGTCGTCGAAGTCGTTGGAGACGTCGTCGGTGTCGTCGTAGTCGTTGTCGGCGGCGTCGTCATCGTCGTTGTCGCTGTCGTCGTCGGCGTCGCTGTTGTTTCCAAGTGCCATGTGGTACCCACCGTCACGGTCATAAGAGATTTTGCAAACCAAGTCGCGGGTGGGTGGGTGGGATGTTTGCACGAGCAGTAGAGAGGACAGCTTCAAGACGGTCAAAGTGGATTGCACCATCTATATTTACTTATTTGTACGTATATAAATATATATAGCACCACATAGGTATCACCACATAGATTGCACAACTCAGATCGCCACACATATATTATACAACAAAGATCGCACCGCAGATGGCGCACCACATAGGTCGCACAACTTTGTCTGTATTACATAGATCGCCTGCTTCAATTCTCCTTCTTAAAAGGAGAATAGGCTCTACCCCCCCCCCCCGGCGTTATCGCCCCCCCTTTCGGGTATGTACATCACATATGATTCTGACCACATTTCCATCCTAAATATGAAATCACAATGTCCCAGGCCAACCGGTATCCCCCCCTAAGGTTCCCTTGTGAAAAAAAACTATGCGGTGCCTTTTTTGTTTTAACATAACACTTGCTCACGAATCCCTTGTACAAGATTGGACGAAGTGCACACGCGCGCGTCGTCGCGCGCGCATGCCGAAATCCTTCAAAAACCTTCGGTGCCGGAAGGCTTTCGCAATCGAGTTCCCAAAAAACATACAAAAACACATGGTTTCGCAACACTGAGTTGCTAAAAAAGCTTACGCGCGAGCTCTTGCGAAATCTTAAGAAAACCATTTGTTTTTCAATATGTTCACAACATGCTACCAAACGGGCGTCGCGCGCGCATGTCGAAGTCTGTCGAACGCCCTTGCGCGTGTGCCGTCGCGAGAATCCTCTGCAACAAATGGGACGGAGTGCAGACGCGCGCGTCGTCGCGCGCGTACGCCGAAATCCTTCAAAACCCATCGGTTTCGGAAGGATTCCAAAATCGCGCGTCCAAAAAACCTACAAGAACACAAGGTTTCGCAACACAGATTTTCAACAAAAGCGTGCGCGCGCGCGCTCTTGCGGCGTCGTCGTCGTCGTCGTCGTCGTCGCCGTCCTCCCTCCTCCCGCGTCGTCGTCGTCGTCGTCGCCTACGTCGTCCTCTGTATTGCCTCGTGTTCGTCGTCGTCGTCCTCTTTGGCGTCATGGTCGTTTCCGTCGTCGTTGTCGCCGTGGTCGTCCTTCCTCCTCCTCCCTCGTCGTCGTCGTCCGTCGTCGGCGGCCCGTCGTCGTCCCTCCTATTTCGTCGCCGTCGTCGTCGTCGTCGTCGTCGTCTCGTCGTCGTCTTCCCTCCTCCCTCGTCGTTGCCGTCGTTGGCGTCGCCGTCCTTCCTCCTTCTTCGTCGTTCGCGTCGTCGCCGTCCTCCCTCCTCCCTCGTTGTCGTCTTTGTCGTCGTTGTCGTCGTTGTCGCCGTCGTCTTCCTTCCTCCTCCCTCGTCGTCGTCTTCGTTGGCGACGTCGTCGTCGTCGTCGGCGTCGGCGTCGTCGTCTTCGTCGTCGTCGACGTCGGCGTCGTCGTCGTCGCCGCCGTCGTCGTCGTCGTCGTCGTCGTCGGCCGTCTTGCTTCTCCGGCCTTCTTGGGGCGCTCTTGAGACGCCCCCGAGGGCTCCAAGACGACCCCGGAGCGATATCTGTGCTCGGTCCCGCATGGGTTTTGCAAACTAAGTTGGGGGTGGGTGGGTGGGATGATTGCGCGAGCAGTGGAGTTGACAACTTCAAGTTCGGCAAGTGAGTTGCACCACATAGGTTGTGCCACACAGACTGCACTACATGTACTGTACAATTAATATATTTATATATATAGTACCACCTCGAGTGCACAACATACATATGCACCTCATCGGTTGCACCGCGTGTACAGCACAACACCGATCACACGAAACAGAGTGCACATCATAGCTTACATAACATAGATTGCACCACATTCTCTGCACCACATAGATTGCACCGCATACGTCGCATCACATAGGTTGCACCACACAAGTTGCTCCACATATTTTGCATAGCATAGATTGCTAACATCATTTTGTTTGGGGCCCACCCTGGCTGACACTGTTAGTCGTCTTACGATCCGTATTCGCATTACACTTGTTATTGTGATGGTTGTTGGCAGTTGTCTTCTCATAACTGTTTATAAGTCTTCATTCGTCGTATGATTGGCATGAGAAATTCCATGCAGCCCCTGGCACCCCTCATCCGCGCATACGCCTCGGGCCATGATGCGCTCACCGCCTGATTCCTTCATGCCGACCTCTGCCCCAGGGCCGCGCCAGCACGCCCCAGGCGCCAGGGCCCGCACCCGCTGGGCGGCCCCCCGCGCGCCCCGCGGCGGCCTGACCCAGGGCGGTGCCGCATGGGACAGGGCGCGCCAGGGGGGCCCAAGGCGCCGCAGAGCGACAGGGAGGCCTCCCGGCGCTGCGGGGGCGCGGGGGGTGACGGCGGTGGTGGTGCAGGCGGTGATGTGTCGATGATGACCTTGGTGGTGGTGGTTGGGATGGTGGCGATGGTGACGATGGCGACGGCGATGGTGATGCTGATGGCTGTGGTGATGCTGGTGCTGAGGCTGATGGTGATGATCGTAATGGTGATGGCGTTGGTGATACTGATGGATATGATGTCGATAATGTGGGTGATGACGATGGTGCTTGTGATGGTCGTGCTGACGATGTTGATGGTATTGATGTTGATCGTATAGATGATGCTGACGGTGGTGGCGATGGCGAGGCTCTTGGGCCTAGGCGTCAATCTTGCCGAGGTCTTAGTTTCAATCCGATGCTCGTTCTTCCCACTCCCACGTCGCCAGAGTGGACTGCAGGGTCAACTGGGGGCGTTGTCACAGTTATATGCAATGTTCCCAGAGAGGCATTCGGGAACATGTGAATTCAGAACGTTCTGGCGGGCCCTTCCCAGAACACTCTGTGATTCTTTTACTCGCAGACGGTTTTGAGCTCAGGAGGATCGGGCGGACGTTTTACCGACGATTCTGCGAACATTGTTGTGCCAGAATTTTCAACATTAATTTTGAGCGGTGTTCCAAAGTCTTGGGTTTGCAGTAATGATAGTAATGATTGGAGCGGCACGCCTTCTTCGCAGCCTCCCTGGCTGAAAGTTCTCTGGTCCATCGCGTTCCCATCTACCACCACCATCCCCTGCCCTCGAGTTCAAGTGCAGCTGCTCCTGGCTGGGGGCTTGGAGGGCCTGATCTCCAAGTTGGGAGCTCGTCGATTGTGGATGTTCTCGAGACCCAGCACATCGGGTCCAGTGGGAGGCCTGGGCGCCGATTCGGCGCTCAGGACTCGTTCTTCCATGCAGGGCCAGGGGCGGAGGGCTAGTGGGGGAGGCAGAAGACGGACACCCAGGGGTCGGGGCCAAAACAAAGGCATGATCACCATCTTCCGGAGGTACGCGCGGATTTCTCGGATCGGCGCCAGAGCCCCCTGGCGGCGCCTCCAGCGCCGCTCCTGGCGCGCTCCGCGCGCCAGGGAAGGGGCTGCAGCGCCGATCCAAGCCGCGCGGACATCCGAACGTTAATCATGTTTATGCTTATGTCACTGCTTGTTCCTCGGAGGGGGGGGGCTCCGACCTCGCTGTTCATGTCGTTGCTTGTATCTCCTCCTTGCCTTCATGGAATTCATTGCCCGCAATGGAAGGCCCCACCACCCCTGGCGGAGTATGCGCGGCGTCAGGGGGGGTGGCCCGCACAACCATTCTCCCACCATAGGGGAGGGTGCGAAGTCCCTGTGTGCGGGACGGGGTGGGCAAGGAGGGACACCATGGGCCCCCCAAACATCAAGGCCTGGGCACCATACGCCTGGCCGGCACTTCAGGGGAGGCAGCACACGCCTCCCCGCCAATTGTGAATTTGCGTCATACGCGACCGATCGAATTTACTGCATGCATTCATCGACTTCAGAGTTTCATACTCATCCTCCTCTTCCTCCTCCCTTTCCTCTTCCTCCTCCTCCTCCTCCTCCCTCTCCTCCTCCTCCTGCGCGGAGGAGCGGGGCGGGCGGGGAACAGAGGGGGGGGGGCGGCGGGGCGGGCAGCGCGGAGGACCGGGCGGGCGGGGAACATATTGAGGGGGGGGCGCAGCACGGGGCAGCGCGGAGGAGCGGGGCGGGCGGGGAACAGATTGAGGGGGGGGGCGGCGGGGCGGGGCGGCAGCGCGGAGGATCGGGCCGGGCGGGGAACAGATTGAGGGGAGGGCGGCCGGGCGGGGCAGCGTGGAGGAGCGGGGCGGGCGGTGAACAGATTGAGGGGGGGGGGCGCGGCACGGGGCAGCGCGGAGGAGCGGGGCGGGCGGGGAACAGAGGGGGGGGGGGCGGCGGGGCGGGGCGGCAGCGCGGAGGATCGGGGGCGGCCGGGCGGGGCAGCGCCCCGCGCAGGATCGCGGCGGGCGGGGGACAGACGGGGGCAGAGGGGCGGGGCAGCGCGGCGGACCGAGGCGGACGGGAAACAAATCGGAGGGGGAGCGGCGGGGCGGGGCAGCGCGGAGGATCGGGGCGGGCGGGGAACAGATTGAGATGGGGGGGGGCGGCCAGGGGGAGCAGCGCGCACGATCTGGGCTGATGGGGAACAGAGCGCCGGATCGGGGCGGACGGGAAACAGACAGGACGGGGGGCGGCCCGGCAGGGCGGCGCGCCGCGCAGGATCGGGGCGGGCGGGAAACTGACGGGGGGGCGGCGGGGCGGGGCAGCGCGGAGGATCGGGGCGGACGTGAAACAGATCGGGGAGGGGGCGGCGGGGCGGGGCAACGCGGAGATCGGGGCGGACGGGACACATATCATGGGGGGGGCGGCGGGGTGGGGCAGCGCGCAGGGTCGGGGCGGACGGGAAACAGACAGGGGTGGTCGGCCGCGCGGGGCAGCGCGGCGCGCAGGATCGGGGCGGAGATGAAACATATTGGTAGGGGGCGGCGGGGCGGGGCAGCGCGGAGGCTCGGGGCGGACGGGAAACAGGGTGGAGGGTGGTCGTTCTTGGACGGTGGCCTGAGCAAGGTGCCGTGCTCTGACTGGTGCAAGTGGCCCGAGAGAACGCAGAAAACGAAGAGGAAAATAGGCCTCTTCCGGGGGGGGAAGGGGACGCGGGCACGAAGTCTGCTGCACGCAGCTGATGTCGGCTCCACCGTCAGGCGCTTTCCCGATCAATTTGCTGCCCCTGTCTGTCAGCTCGTGAATCTTTAGTCCGCCCCCTCTGCTCTCGGCTGGAGGCACGGCAGCTCTTCGAGAAGCTCGACCTCCAGCCGTGGGACTCCCGGGGCCTGATCCGGGCGGTCCTGCTCAAGCAGTCCGAGCTGGCGAAGAAGTCGGATCTGCGGAAGGTGCCGCCGTGAGAGCGGGAGGCGGGGGCGAACGGGGGGAGGATTGTTTTTTGATTTCTTTTCTCTTCCTCCTCCCCCTCCTCCTTTTCTCCCTGCTGATTCCCAAGTGGTACCAGAACATCGGTGACGAGTCCCTGATGCTGGTGCTAATGGCCGAGGCGGCTGTCTCCGTGTGCTGAGTGAGCAGGGTCCGTGGCGTGTCGAGCCGCCCCGACCACGGACCTCTTCGGAGAGCCTGTCCTGCTCCTTTCACTTGGCTCCATGGGAAGCCTGCAATCGACACGTGGGCCGCCCAAGCAGGCAGGCAGGCAGGGAACGTCTTGCCACCCCACTTGATCTCAATAGTTTGCAAAGCTGTGATGTTCTGGCCTTAGCCGCCTCGATACGCCCGTTTTGAAAGGCAACACGTACCGTGCTCAACACGTCCGTGTCAGTACGTTGCGTGATGGCTCAATTTGTTGGTCCACGTTTTGGCGAACGCATCGCGTCATACTTAACTGTTCAGTCTACGTGTTGAGCTCATAATCGATACGCTACGTGTTGCGTGTAGAGTATCGGTGCACCTGAGGTTATGGCACATCGGGGCCTCTATCGTTACAAAACCGCACCATCACAAACTTCGAATGTCCGTGGTGTTTGGTGCCCCGTTCGCGTTCCTCCCAGGAGTGCGATGCGCAGCGCACGCTGCATGTCACGAGCGTGTTCCGAGACCGTCGGTCCGATCTCATTAAATCTTCGCCTCCGCTGCACTCACAGCGACTCAAACAGTCCTGACGGTTGCGAGGCCGATCTGTTCGGGCTCGGGTTCAGGGCGGTTGCCTTCTCATCTGCTCACGTGCATGGAGAGCGCGGGGGTCCTCACCGTCATGGTGCTTCACTGCGTAATTCCACTTGGACTGGTTGCGGCCTGCGGCCAAGCGGACCCCAGGCAGCTCCCGAATAACAGTCAAGAGGGAGGAGAGACGTGTTGACGTTCTGCCCCCTTGTTGGCCTGGGGCGCCCTCGTCGCCGCGGCTGGGTCCTTGGAGTCCTGGCCAGGACGCGCTCCAGACCAGGTCGGGGGTGGTCGGATGGAAGAGGAGGAGGAGGAGGAGGAGGAGGAGGAGGAGGAGGAGGAGGAGGAGGAGGAGGGGGAAGAAGAGGAGGAGGAGGAGGAGGAGGAGGAGGAGGAGGAGGAGGAGAAGAGAGAAAGGAGGAAGGAGGTCCGTAGCCGTTTTGGTTCAAGGATCAACGCTGTGAAGGGCTGTAGACGCCCAAGAATCAGGGATTAGCTTTGGACTTCCTTTCCGTAGGGGGCACAAGCACTCCTTGGCCGCCAGGAGGCCACGGCTCGGGGTGCGTCCTTCGGCCTCGGCCCCGCCCTCTGTTTCCTCTGCGCCGCGGGGCCGGTCTCCTCCCCGCAGCCATGCGCCGCGCTACTGGCGCTTGCCTCGCCGCCCGCGGCAAGAGGGCCACCCGCCAGCTCGGCAGGCGCCAAAGAAACACCCGGCGCTGGACGACGGCATCGGGCGATTCGAGAGGATCGAAGGCGAGGAGGACGTGGTGGAGCAGGTGGACGAGAGGTCTCCTGGCGCCCGCGCCGCGGGAGTGATCGTCGACCTGCTGCAAGATGAGGAGCTGTACCCGACGCTGGAGGGCGCCCGCTCTCCCAGTGTCCCTGGCACTCCACGGGCTGGAAGTGACGACGGACCTGGAGGCCGTGCTGGCACTGGCGGCTCCAGCCCTCCTCGGCTCACCCCTGGGGTTTCCTCGGGGACGGAGGCCACGGCGCGTGCGACGAGTGGTTTTGCAAGCTCTGCTGGCATCGTTCGTCCCCGTCAACAGGCAGCTGACGTTCGTGGTGGAGCGGATGATGACCCTGAGCGTGCGCAGCTCAGGCAGTACATTGATAAAACCAGGTCTGACATCATGTCCAGCCTGGCGATCGCGCAGCAGTCTCTCTCGAGCTTCAGCTCGACGAGGGGGGTGTCACTGCGCGAGCATCGACAACGCAGTCGAGAAGCGGGTGTCCAAGGTGGAGCACAGGGTAGACCTCCACGACACGAGGATCACCAAGTTCGAGGCGGAGCTGCAGGAGCTGCGGGAGCTGCTCGGGCCCATGCGGCGCCAGGAGCTGCCGCGTCTACCGGTGGGCGCGGGCGGCTTTGACAGGGAGATCGCCCCGACGATCATCGTGGTGCGTGCTCAAGTGCCACTACCTCGTGAGCAGGTTGCCAAGGCGGTGGAGCCGTGGCGCGCCGACTGCAACCTGGCCCCAGCGGACTACTCCGTGGAGGGCGAGCCTGCAGACATGCGCTTCCAGGTGGTGGTCAAGGGCCGGAAGGCCTACGCGCCGAGGCGCGCGGGTCAGGCCGCGGGCGCTCTCAGGCTTCCTGGACGAGGAGCGGGCTGGAGGAGGATCGCGACTCCAGCACCGATTGGATGTGCCGACGCGGAGCCGTCGATCAGCGCGGACAAGAGTCCGAAGATGGTGGCGAAGGAGCTGGGCTGCAAGAAGATCCAGCGCCCCCTCTCGGCCCTGCACCCACAGCGTCCTTTTTTTTTGTGGATAAGGAGAAGGGGGTGGTCAGCTCGGGCTGGAAGGAGCTGGTCAGCTTCGACCCTGCCCCTGGATCCCAGCCTCCGAAGATCCATTTCAGCGTCGAGAATATGGGCGCCCTGGGCATGGACTCGGAGGCGATCCGCCGCGCTGTCGCCCAGCTCTTCGAGAAATCAGAGGCGACGGAGTGGTGTCTTTAGCCAGTCTTGCATGCTCGGCAGGGGTTCTCGCCATGCCGTTCGGGCCTGGCGATCACGAGCTGGAACGCGCGAGCATTGATGCACCGCGACCTGAGTCTCCGCGGGCAGAACATCGTTTATATCAGGAACCTCCTGTCCCCGCCCACCACCCTCGGAATCCAGGAGTATCATGGGACTCTGGCGGAGGTTGAGGACATGGCGCATCAGATCCACAAGCCAGTCAAGATGTTCCACTCCTTCTTCGACGGCGTCAAAGGCGTCGAGAGCGCGCATGTCGGCGGCGCGCTAACGTTCCTTCCATATTCGGGTGCCCACGCTACCTGCCATCCGAAAGCATTGGTCCCAGGGAGGGTGCTGAATGTGAAAGTGGTTCTCGGCGAGTCAGGGGGGCAGTTGTTTTCCCATTGGAACGTTCGCAATGTTGACCCCACGAGGGATGGCGAGCTCCAGCTAACCAAAGCGACTGCAGAAGAGTTTCAAGAGGCGAAGCGCTTTCCCGACCGCGCTTTGATGACTCTGGCTGGGCATTTCAACATCAGCTCGCCCCCGCCTCGCCCGAGTCTGCCCGGCGGAGCGAGGTGCCCCCAACTCCAGTCGAACACCGGCTTCCGCGAGCGGCGCGCGAGCAGGGGCCCACCTTGGCAGGGCCTCTTTAGCAAGTTCGTTGAGGTGGATCAGTCGAACCCGACCCACTGCAGCTTATCGAACGATTCCACGAACCTCATAAATCGGATTTCTGTGTCACTCCATGAGTAAGGCCTTTATTATGTTGAATGCCTTGGGGGCGGCGAAAGACCTTGTCGATGTTTTACTTCATTCGGACATCCCGTCGGATCCCCCCCCCTCCGAAGGGGCGCCCGATCCCCAGGGGCATATTCAGCGCGTGCTACTTCCAGAGGTTCAGGGAGGCTTTTTCTTGGCGCGATATTGCGAGGGTCTCTCGCCGCCGCTGAAGGTAGAATCTCAGAGGTATCCCATGGTGGGAGGAGCCAGGTTTGCGCGCGACGCCATGCTGCATCGGCGCCCGTCAGCGAGACCTGCTCGCATCATCCTTCACCGTTCGGTCGCTCAGGCGGTATGGAGACAGAAGTGAAACTTGGCTCCATCCTCCTGCGGGCGCGCCCAGCTGCTCGGTCGTCGCATGGCCTCGACGCGTGCAGCGGGCGCCTTTGGCTTCTAGATCCTGATAGGTTTGCCGCGGGGGCCTCGATCAGCTGCAGTCTGCCGGCCTCGAGGCCCAGATATCCACTGCCAGGAGCTGCTCCAAGGAGGGTGCCCCAGGAACGCTTCGTCGGAAACGGCTGCAACAACAACGGTGGCTTCAAAAGCGGGCTGCGGCTTGGGCTCCCTTTGACAGGAGATTGCGCTTGAAAGGGATCAGGTTAGGTCACGAGGTGGCTACGACGCCCGAGTTTATGCCCACTGCGATCTGCAGCTACTAGGCGCCTTTGGTCCCAAAGCTGTTCTCCACAGGCGCGCGGGCGCCTTCTTAGACAGAATTTAGGGCGGCATGGATTTGTTCTGATGTTACTCCTCCCTCGCTTGCTGGGGTGCGGCAGAAGCTGCGGACTCTGGGGGGCTGTTCGCCGGGCCCAGATAGGCCCCCGCACGCGGCATGGCGGTCTTCCCCATGGCAGCGGATTTGTTGGGCGAGTATCTATGGTGGATTGTGGATGGGAGCTCTCCTCGCTCCAACTTCAACTCCCTTCTCGGCATCTTCATTCTGGGGGGGGGGGGGGGGGGCGGGGGCGACGAGCATGTCGCTGTCCGCGGTGTCAGTTCGCTTCGGTCGCTCGGTTTTGAAGAACTCGGAGAATAAGATTCTCACCCGCCTGGCTGTGCGCCCTTTTTCGGTGAAGATGGCGTAAGCCAGCTGTGGGCTCCAGGGGGGCTTTACCATCGGTCGACACTTCGGCGGGAATATGAGAACTGGATACTCTTGCCCGTCTCGCTTCGACATCGGATACCGCGGAGGAGGACCTCCCCGCCATCCTCGCCTACGACTTTGCCCAGGCGTTCCCTTCGGTCTCGCGCTCTCGGATGATGAACGTCCTATGGGCGAATGAACACCCCTGGGCCCATGTGACGGTTATTCCTGGTCCTTTACCAACTCTTGCAGTGTTTCGGTGCCCAGGGAGATTCCACGGTTTGGCTCTTCTCGATCTGGTCTGGGATCATCCAAGGGCGCCCAGCGAGCGGTGCACTTTTCGCAATGAGCTTGAACCCTTTCCTGCTGGACTTTGAGACTGGCTTCGTGGGCAATTATAGGGGCGTCATTTTTGCTTGCGCCGACGACAGGCGGGGTAATCCTGAAGCTACGCTACATCACTGTGCTCTTGAGGATCTTCGACTGGGCTCAGAAACTAGCGACCCTCATCCTGAAAACGGCGAAGTGCTTCATTGCCTCTTTAAGCGGCCCCTTCTCCGCCGAGCTGGCAGCAAGGTACTCCGAGGCCCTGTCGGAGCTGGCCCCTGAGTGGCCCGCCTTTGTCGCGGTCCCAAATCTGAAGTACCTGGGGATGTGGGTTGGGCCGAACTCGCGTGACAAAGCTTGGCTCGGGCACCCTGGGAAATGGCGCGCTCGGGGACATCAGCTAGCAGGAACCAACCCGCCCACCCAAGTCGCCGCCAAGCTCCACTCCTCCAGATGTGCTACAGCACCCTCGTATGTCGCCCAGTTTTTGCCGCCACCGCGGCAGCTGCTCAGGCAGGGGGCCGCGATGTTGGCCAAGGTTTTCCATTTCCCTCATTGTGCCTTGAGCAGACTGGGACGGTTCAGTATGGGGAGCTAGGGTGGACCACGTATTCCTTCTATCACCCTCTCCGCCTATGCCGCCCACGGTCGCGCTGCCCTCTCTACCTTCTCTTCCTGTTGGCCGAAGTTTAGTGCGGCGCCTTCGGGGGCAGGCTCTCCGGAGGCTACCGATTGTTGCTGTCGTGCGCGGTGAATGGGCACCGCATTTGTAGGGGGTGCCCGCCTTGTGCCAGCGCCTGATGCTCGCCGCTGCTGGCTTTCCCGACGACCCCAAACTGAAGCATCTGGCACCTGGGTATGAAGAGGATCGAGGACTGATGGCCGAAGCGGCAGCTGCGGCCCGTGGGGGCCGCCGCACGCGCAGGAGCCGTATACAGCGCACTCTGATGGCCTCTTCTACGTCCACCCTTTCTCACGCGGACGCCTTCAGGTTTCTGTTCATCCGTCGGCTCTGGAGCTGGTTTCCCGGCGTTGGGCCGAACATGTCCACGTTAAAGGTCTCACGCGCGCGTGCCCTCGTGCGAACGCTCTCGAAGGCGTGGCTCGCCCAACGGAGGTTCCAGCAAACGGGGGCCACCTGCGTTCTCGGCAGTGCTGCCGCCGACTGCATGATGCCCTAGTGGGCGTGCCCTGTATTGCGGGACGTGCTTGTCGAGGTGGTGGGCGAGGGGCTCAGTGACGTGGGTGGGTGTGACGGGATCGACGCTCTGGGGTTCCTCGTGCCGACGCCTGCGCGTCTCGAGGTGCCAGTGGCACTCTGCCTTCTGTGCATTGATATACGGGCCAGACGAGCCCGCCTTCTGCGGCACCTCACCAGGAGGGAGGCCGCCGCCTTCGTCCCCGCGGTGCGCGCTCGGCTGCTTCGGTAGCGCGCGCGTCGGCAGGGCGGACAGACCGAGCGCTCGGCCACGCGCGAGGAAGGAGGAAGGAGGCGCCGGAAGAGGAGAATAGGAGAGGGAGGAGGGAGAACAAAAATCCGGATCCTTGGAGGTCCCCAGAAGTTTCGGGGTTCCCAGCGTCCAGAGACCCGGAGGGGCCCGAAAGCGTCAAAACACACGGGCGTTGGCGGCTCGAATCTCGGCCCCCACGACCCGTTCAACGACCGAAGGATGGACCGATGAGGAGGACGAGGAGGGAGGGCGGGAGAGAAGGAGGGGAGGGAGAGGCGCAAGGACGAAGGAGGACGAGGGAGGTGGGATATGTAGCAGCAGGAGGAGGAGGAAGAGGAGGAGGAGGAGGATGTATAGGAAGGAGGTGCAAGCACATGAGGCTCATGTGGGAGCAGCAGGAGGAGGCAGGACCAGGAGGCCCTCCCTCGATCGACGGGGGCATTGCGGAACGCGTGCTCCAGTCCAGGTGCTGAACAGGCCTGTTCCTTTTCCGCTGTAACTCATGCCTCCTGTTTGAGGCTTCTCCTCTGCCTCCTGACCCTCCTCCTCCGCCTCCTCCTCCTACTCCTCCTCCTCCTCCGCCGCCCCCTGACCCTCCTCGCAATGACTGGCGATAGAGAGCCTGGTGTCACTACTCTTCCTCACCGTTCAGTCTTATCCTCGGTGTCCTCCTCCTCCCCCTCATCCTTCCCCTCCTCGCGGTTACCCTGTTGAGGCAGACGGCGCGGGAGGGGCAGACGGAGTGGGAGGGCTACGATCTTTGATGAGTGCCAGGGTTTGCGGATGGCCCGCGCGGTCTGGCGCGGCCTTCCTTGAGGGGCAGAGAGCCGTGTTAGTATCGCTTGGGGGTTGCACTCAGCATGCAGTGTGAAAGGTGCATGGGGGGGGCAGAGGGTAGGCGGAGGAGGGGGGAGGAGTTGGGAATGGTGTGCTCAACTAAAAGCTAAACTCAGGACGTGAGAGAAATGGAGCGGTGTACTTTGGAGGCTGACCGGCTATGAACACATGCGCTGCTAGGCGGCCCAGGACGGGCAGGAGGAGGACACCGAGGGGCAGGAGGAGGAGGAGGAGGAGGGACCAGTGCAATCCCAAGACGCATCAACGATCTTGAAAGAAGTCCTTCTTCTTTGTTCCGTCCTCATAGGTCACCTCAAGATTTTCTTTTCTTTGCGGGCAGTGCCCCATTGAAAGACAACCGTCTGCGAATCCCCAACCATGCCATTCTAGTATTGCTGGGATGTCAACTCGGCAAATCAACGGGAACTGACACTTCCTGGTAATCCTAATTCGCGCCAGAACACTTTTCCTGGGACTTCAACGCCGCGAATCAGCGGGACTGTCGCGTCTTGACAATTTGAAACGCACCAGAGCGCCCTTCCTGGGACTTCGACCATACGACCCCTGATAACGGTTGAAGAATGGTGAGGGCCGCATTAAAAAAGGAGCCGCTCTCCATCCTTGAATTGTTGCAACAATTTCAGACGAGTGTATGCTGCACTGAGGCGAGAGCCACATTTCGAAAACAACCCGCACTCCGTCTTTGAACTTGCTATAGATTCGAAGCTTCAGGACCATGAATGGTGAGAAAGTCTCAGGCGAATCGCCCGCCCGCCCTACCGACACGTCTGGCGGTGCGCCAGCAGCTACTAATAAGGACCACGATGGAGGAGGGATGCCTCGGAGGAGGAGGCGGATGGGGAGGAGGAGGAGGAGGAGGAGGAGGAGGAGGAGGAGGAGGAGGAGGAGGAGGGGGAGGAAGAGGAGGAGGAGGAGGAGGAGGAAAAGGAGGAGGAGGAAAAGGAGGAGGAGGAGGTGGAGGAGGTGGACGACGACGACGACGACGACGACGACGACGACGACGACGACGACGACGGTGAGCAGCTGCAGCAGGAAATAGATCGGCGGGGGGGGGACACGGAGTTGCACTTGGAGGGTCGTCCCCTCGCCGCCGCGGCGCGCCTCCCGTGGCCGCGGGCCTCGCTGGCGGCGACGACGTGTGCTGACGGCGACGGTGCCGACGGCGACTGCGGTGCCGACGACGACGGCGCCGATGGCGACGGCGGCGGCGAAGATCCCCCCGCAGCGGCAGGTGCCGGTCAAGGACGGCTTCAACAAGATACTCGACAAAAAGCGCAAGGACGCAGGCCATCCGCCGCTCCACTTGGGGGGGAGGATGGAACACTCAGCGCCGAAGGGTCTCTCCTGCAATTGCAACATGTGGGGGCCCGATCTTTCGGGCCTGGGGCGGGAAGCTGGCCAGGGTGGACCCTAGGAGGGGTGCGAGGACGCGTTTTGAGCAGACTCTTGAGGGGATGAGGGGGGCGGAAGAGGAGGAGGAGGAGGAGGAGGAGGAGGAGGAAGAGGAAAAGGGGGAGGAGAAGGAGAAGGAGGAGTGAGAGGAGGGAGGCGATGGAGTCCATCGTTTGAGTCCTTCTTGCGCCTCCTGGAGGTTCTTTGCCTCAACGGCCAGATTCCCCTGTCGAAGTCCAGTTCCAGGCGCTCTTCGAGAGGTCCAGGGACTGTTTTGAACAGAAGGGGGATCGTAACTTGTTGTTTGCCTTTTTGTTGACCTTTCGAGGCGCTCTCGTCGCCACGGCTGATCTGCGGCTGATCCACAGCTCTCCAGGACAGGTCCGAAATGCCACAATTTCGCCGCGTGCGGCTAACGAACCAGGTGCGCCACGTTTGCCAGGCGCACCAGGTGCGCGACGCGCGCAGGTTGCACCAGGTTTGCCACCGCACGTCCTCACATCCGCCGCCATGCGCAGTACGCTATATTCCCAACCATCCTATGGTGTTGGGTCTTCGTTTTGAGGAGACAGCGCCGCGCGTCTCCTCCTCTCTTCTCCTCTGCTCTGCTCTCTCCTCTCCACTCCTCTCCTCTCCTCTCATCTCCTCTCCTTTCTCCTTTCCTTTCTCCTTTCTCCTCTCCTCTTCTCTCATTTCTCTTCGTTTCTCCTCTCCTTTCTCCTCTCCTCTCCTCTCCTCTCCTCTCCTCTCCTCTCCTCCCCTCTCCTCTCTTCTCCTCTCCTCTCCTCTCCTCTCCCCCTCCCCGTCCCCCTGAAGGCCGTGGTGGCAGCGCCTGCATGGCACCGCCGCGCCCATGTCGGCACACCCCTCACACGCTTCGTGGCCCCATAGGGAGTCCCCCCCGTGACAGCGCCCGCATGGCACCGCCACGCCCAGGTCGCCACACCGCTCACACGTTTCGTTGCCGCATAAGGAGCTCCACCAACGGCCCCAAATGCAGCGCCCGCATGGTACCACCGCGCCCGATTCGGCACACCATTTACATGTTTCGTGGCCCATAGGGAATTCCATCGAACGCCCAGTGGCAGCGCTGCATGGCACCGCTGCGCCCATGCCGGCACACCCCTCACACGCGTCGTGGCCTCATAGAGAGTTCCACCGAAGGCCCCAAATGCAGCGCCCGCACGGCACCGCCGCACCCAATTCGGCACACCCTTTACATGTTTCGTGGCCCCAGATGGAGCGCCCAGTGGCACCGCCTGCGTGGCACCGCCGCTCCCATGTCCTCCTTGTGGGGGGAGCGGGAGAAGGACGAGGCGAAGGAGGAGGGAGAGAAAGCGCTCCTCGTGGTTTGAGTTGTTTGGGGTTTCTCATCCTGGTCTGAGTCGTTCGGGCCCTTCTTCCTGGTGTGAGTCGTTCGGGCTCTTCGTGGTGTGAGTCGTTCGGGCTCGTCGTCCTGGTGTGAGTCGTTCGGGCTTCTCGTGGTGTGAGTTGTTCGGGCCCCTCGTCCTGGTGTGAGTCGTTCGGGCCCCTCCTCCTGGTGTGACTCGTTCGGGCTCCTCGTGGTGTGAGTCGTTCGGGGCCTTCGTCGTGGTGTGAGTCGTTTGGGCTCCTCGTGGTGTGAGTCGTTCGGGCGCCTCGTCCTGGTGTGAGTCGTTCGGGCCCCTCCTTCTGGTGTGAGTCGTTCGGGCTCTTCGTGGTGTGACTCGTTCGGGCCCCTCGTCCTGGTGTGAGTCGTTCGGGCTCCTCGTGGCGTGAGGCGTTGGGGCCCCTCGTCCTGGGGTGAGTCGTTCGGGCTCCTCCTCCTGGTGTGAGTCGTTCGGGCTCCTCGTGGTGTGAGTCGTTCGGGGTCTTTCGTTCTGGTGTGAGTCGTTCGGGCTCCTCGTGGGGCCTCTTGGGGGCCTCTTGGGGCCTCGTGAGGGCCTCTTGGAGGCCTCTTGTGGGCCTCTTGGGGGCCTCGTGGAGCCTCTTGGGGCCTCTTGGGGGCCTCTTGAGAGCCTCTTGGGGACCTCTTGGGGCCTCTTGGGGGCCTCTTGGGGGCCTCTTGGAGGCCTCTTGGGAGCCTCCTGGGAGCCTCTGGGGACTATCTTGGGGCCTGTTGCGGCCTCCTCAGAAGCGCAAATGAGCGCTGGCCCCAGAGAAAGACAAAATGAGCCCAAAACCGTCGTAAAATCAATGATTTTGCTATGAAGGAAGAGGAGCGCGGCCCCCTCAGAAGGCCAAAATGGGGCCAACACCATAGTAAAATCAATGTTTGTTGCTTCAAAGACGGTCTGAGGCGCCAAACGGTCCCCCCCCCCTGGGGGCCAGAATCCTCGTGAGGGTCGTCGTTTTTTTGGCCCTCCCAGGAGTCGAAAAAGACCCCCTTGATTGCACTCGGCCCGCCCTCTCCAGGCCCAGGGGGAGGGGGGAGGGGGAGGGGTAAACCCCTCCCCGAAGGGGAAGAAGGGGGGTTGAGGACAGAGCGGGCTCTCTAAACCACTCACGCCCAAAGGGCTGGTGGGACGCCGCGGGAGCTGCTCGGTAGGCCCTTGTTGGGAAGGCACCCCTGGCCTGATCGGGGTTCGACGATATGCGAGCTCCCGAGGGGGACCAGCGGAAGCCTGAAGGCGGAGCTCACCCTGGCACCCGGAGAGGGGGGTGCGCGAGCACCAAGAAGGCCGAGGAGACATCGAGGAGGCCTTGGAACTATGGCAGGCTTCTGCCTCTCAAGCCCCTGGTGGGCGTCTAGAAGGCCTACGCCGCCAGCGAGCGAGGATTGCTCGAGCTGGGCGCGCTCGCGAAGACAGAGAAAGCGGCGGCGCGAGCCGAGGAGAGCGGACGGCCGCGAGGAGAGGAGAGTGCGGCCCGAAGGGGGTGGCAGCGAGCAGTGGCCAAGAGTAGCGCCACCCTGCGCGAGTGGCTTGGCCTGCGCTGGGGATGGGGTTCCAGGAGAGGCGGCGAGAACGGAGGCCAGCCTGCGAGCCTGGGGCGCGGCCGCCCTGAGAAAGGGGGCCCTATGTCAGGCAGGGGCACGAGTACCTGTCCTGGGTTAGGGGCTGCCCAGACTGGGTGCCTCGCGCGCACCGAGCGCGTGGGGTGGCCGCCACGCGTCGGCCGCGCGGACGATTGCGTGGCGCCGCCAGAGACCGTCAGGGATCGTCGTCCTCGTCCTCCTCGCGTTCATTCTTGCCCTCGTCCTCGTCATCGTCCTTGTCGTCGTCCTCGACGACGGCGGCGGCGGCCGCAGCGGCGTCGTCGTCGACGTTGTCGTTGTCCGGCGCCCCCCCCCCTCCGCGGGGCCCGGCCGCGTTGCCGCTACCCCCACTGGGCGCCCGCCCCCCCCCACCCCACCCCAGCCGCCCCACCAGCGCACGCATTGCAGCGCCGCGCTCGTTTCGGCGCACCCCATCGTACGTTTCGTGGCCCCAGAGGGAGCTCCACCGAAAGCCCCAATGGCAGCGTCCACATGGCAGCGCCGCGCGCGTTTCGGCACACCTCTCACACATTGCGCGAGGAACTCACACAGGGAACGCGGGCACTGCATTGATGGCCGTAGTGGCACACGTTGCGCGACCCCATGTGGAACTCCACCGAAAGCCTCCGTGTCAGCGTCCGCATGGCGCCGCCGCGTGTATTTTGGCACACCCCTCACGCGTTTCGCGGCCCCAGGGGGAGCTCCACCAAAGGCCCCAGTGGCAGCGCCCACATGGCAGCGCCGCGCGCGTTTCGGCACACCTCTCACACAGGATAGTTCAGCGCCGCATGCGTTTCTGTACATCCCTCACACGTTCCGCGGCCCCATACGGAGTTCCACTGAAAGCGCCAGTGTTTGCGCCCGCATTGCACCGCCGTGTTCCTTTCAGCACACGCTTCACACGTTATTTGGGCCCATAGGGAGTCCCACCGACGCCCCGATTGCAGCGCCCGCATGGCAGCGCTGGGCCCATGTAGGCGCATCCCTCACACGTTGCATGGCTCCACATGGAGTTGCACCGAAGACGATATTCACTGCAGTTGGTTGGGCTTTTCGCACGGAGAATGTTCTGATCAGGGTGGCTGGGTGTTGGACGTGGAGCCCGGTCGGCGGCCACACTATCATGGGAGGATGCTTTTATCAACAAGAAGCAGGAGGAAACAGTCTGCGATGCGATCACACCCTCCGCACTAGCCCTTCAGCATCTGGAACGTATGACCTGATCCCCTGCTGCTTTCTTCCTGGGCGCTGGAGCGTCGCCATGCAGGTGTATGGTATGTGTAAAGAGTTCTAGCGCCAGTTCGCAGAGAAACCCATGGAAGCGTCGATGTCGTGCGCCCACTGGCAGTGGCATCTGTAGCGGCCCCATGTGGCCAGCAGCGTACTGCTTCACACGGATGATGCCCCGGACCAGCTCTGGGGTGCGCGCGTGCGGCCCGCACGGTAGTATGCCGCAAGGGTGGTGCCAGGGGCCAGGTCTGGGGGCGACCGTGTGTGGTCCTCACGGTAGTCTTTGAGCGGGCAAGTGCGCGCATGTGGCCCGCACGATTTTCTTTAAAACGCCCAGGGCGGGATCCGGTCGAGTCAAGAGTAATGCCGAAGGTAATACTGAAAAGGCTGAAGATTGACGCGCGAGAGCCAAGGGCAAGGGCCGGGCGGGAGCAGCGAGGAACCTATACGGGGAGGGAGGGGTAGGATAGGGGAAGGGAGCAGGTACGGTTTTGAGAGGGGGAGATGACGGTATTCCTTCACATCTGTCGGTGGTGTTACCCCGAAAGCAGCTCAGCATCTCCCTGGTAGGTATGCACTCGTCACGCGTGCAAGAGTGGACCATTTTGAGAGAAAGTCCGACCAAGGCGTGCACGGAAGTCATGTGCGAAAGTTTCAGCAACGGACTGCTGCCGAGCTGGCCGACTACGTCATAGCAGAGAGGCGACCTATCATGAAAATCATTCCCAAGAAACCAGGTCTGACACTAGGGTGTCGCACAGTCGGACCGCACGATCAGAAACACACTATGTTCCGTCAGGGTGCCTTGGGGTTCTTTGGCTTGCCTTCGGCGCGGAAGGTGGTAGCAGTCTCGAAGAAACTGCGAATGGCGGGGCACGCTGGGTTTCTTGGGCCTCGGTTTGTTCGGTTTCTTGATGTCAAGAATGCGCTCTGGTCATGGTACCCTGGGTTTCTTCGTTTGCAGCCGAAGTGCAAGAAACCCAACCTTTGACTGAGAGACCTCTGCGGAGGTTAGGCTTGGGTTTCTTGCGGCGTTTTTTGTTTGTGGATTCATTTCAATTGTATTGCACTGCCTTGTCTGTAGTCTTGGCTGCTGTGGGTACCGGTTCTTGTGCGGCGACCTGGCGCGGATATTGGTTGGAACAGAATCCGATGGATGAGAATGAAAATCGCTGCCAGCACGCGGGAAGCTCGCCAAGGAGATCTCCAAGCCAGTGTTCGTGGACCTTTGTGTCGACTTGCTCAAGGATCACAACATACCTGGGTCAGTCGCAGACCAGGACGTCCGCGGCGCAGGTGATTTCAGGCGAGATGTGAGCGCCTGGTGAGTTCCATCGGAGCGGTTCCCCACTTGTCCCGCTCGGGCTCCCCTGCAGAGAGGTTTGAATCTGTCGGGCGAGAGGGCCTGGTGACCACAATGGCGTGCCCACCCCCAGGCTCCACATGGAAAGGCCCCCTCATTCCACAGGAAGACGCCCCGCCCCCGAAGAAGCCCCTGCGGGTGGGCTCTACCAGTTCCGCAAGGGTGCGCCTCCCCTCGTTTTGTTTTAGCGTGTGTTGTCTGCTTGCTTCTCGCTTGGATTCCAGCTTGCCTCTTTCTTTCCTCTCGTTGTCTTGAAGTTTGTGCATGTCGCTTGCATGTTCGCTTGCACCCAACCTGCCTCAAGCATGCAATGCCGCATGCGTGTCTGCTTGGGTGTGGCAGTCCTGCTAGCTTGCGTTTCAACATGTATGTATAGCTGCTTGCTCTTCTGCAGTATGCGTTGTGAGCTTTCGCGTCCGCTCACCTTTCGCCTGCCTTGTTCCCGCAAGCTTCCTAGCTTGTCTCTCAGCTTGCGTGTCGTGTACCTGTTGGCTTGCCTCTAACTTGCCCCTGCAACACCGGCATGGGGAGCCGAAGTAGCAAAGCGGCATACTAAGGCACACCGTGTGTGGAAACGGACCAGGCCGCGCCCACGCACCCGCTGCAGCCTCGCTGCGTGAGTGAGCCCCCGCGCCTTGCCCCCCCCCCCTGTGCGGCCGCCTCCTCGCCTCCCTCTCCCCGCCTCTTGCATGTGAGTTAATTCGCGACGCCGGGCCCCGGTCTCGCCCCGACGCGCGTGCGGATCGCCTCTTCCGCGCTGCGACGAAACAAAATTCAAACGGAGCGTTGTACGGGCACGGAACAGCACGGGGCGGCAACTTGCCGCATCCCAGAAGATCTTCAGTATGTTCTTGGCGTCTGACGCTTTGGGCGCTTCCAGGATGCGCTTCTGCAGCGCGAGCGAGGTGACATGGGATGGGTGCGTGGAGCAAGGTGCGCCGAGGCGCCCCAGCGATCTGACAGGTGCCCTCGGGGCGCCCGCGGCGAGCCCCAATGGTTGCCCAGTGGCCGCGCGGGGAGTCGGACATCCGGCCGCCCAGCCATCCCCGCCCTACCTATGTGCGTCCTGGTCTAGTTTGACCCGTTTACCCTTCGGACAATGGGCGGCGAGGCAAGCGGTGCAGATGCCATCGGCGTATTCCGGTCCGATTGGACATTCGGCGCGTTGACTAAGACAAAACGGGGCTCAATGGGAAGAGGGGAGTGGTCGGACGTCAAATGTGGCGCGAACGCGCTTAGCTTGTCCCTCGCCATCTCTCCTCCCGCCTCCCCCCGCGGGTTCGGCGTGGGCGACAGCGCGGAGCAATTCCTCCCGCGTTTTTCGCTTCCTTTCCTGGTGGGGGCCGCGGGTCCGGACGTTACGACGCGTCGCAATTGTGGCATCGGTTTCTTGCGTCGCCTGAGGGCAGGAGGAGGCGGAGGAGGAGGACGAGGAGGAAGAGGAGTTGAAGGAGGAGGAGGGGGAGGAGGAAGAGGAAGAAAAGTAGGACGAGGAGGGGGAGGAGGAGGAACAAAAACAAAAGGAGGAAGAGGAGAAGGAGGAGGAGGAGGAGGGGATGGGGAAGGAGGAGAGGTGGGAGGAGGAGGACGGAGGAGGAGGAGGAGGAGGAGGAGGAGAGGGAGGAGGAGGAGGAGGACAGGAGGAATAGGAGGAGGAGGAGGGGGAAATGACAAGGAGGAGGACGAGGAGGAAACGGAGGAGGAGGAGGAGGAGGAGGAGGAGGCGGAGGGGGAGGCGGCGGAGGAAGAGGAGGAGGAGTAGGAGGAGGAGGAGGAGGAAGAGGAGGAGGAGGAGGATGAGGAATACCAAACAAACGAATAAGAAGAACAATGCACATACGCAGAATAATCATAAGAAAATGAGGAGGAGGAGAAGCAGGAGCAGGAGCAGGAGGAGGAGGAGGAGGAGGAGGAATATAATTATGATGAGGAGGAGGGGAGGGGGGTGTCGGGGTTTGAATTCCTCCTTCCGGCTTCCTGATTTTAAATGAACCATACATATTCATATATACATTGATCTGGTTGTCTGGATCCGATTCTCAGGGTGTGATCATCTTGACCGGATTGTCTGGATATGGCTCCGTGGCTGTGAGTGATTTGATATGAGTTCGGGTTTGAATCGTTAGAGCATTTTCCGGATCTGATTATCTGGCCTGATATGAGTCAAATTTGAGCCATCGGAATTCTTTCAGAAATATCACAAAGTGTCTGGTGGTATATGTATATGGTCAACAGCTATCGAACGTGATCTAAAGTAACCAATTGTTCTTGAATATGCATGTGGCCTTTCATTTTTCGATACCCGAACATTATCCGCAACTTCATTAAAATTGATTTGCATGGTTGCACATGTGTTCAAACTTACATTTTTTATCCAAGTTTATAAACACGTGGCCACATGTATTACATGTTTGTTTGATTATTCAATATGTACGTTCATTGAGTTAGAGTGTGTAACATTCACCGATCTGCATTTGATTTTCAAATTGCCGCTCATTCTCTGTAGCTGATATTATTTCCCGTTTTTTTCCTAATATCTAGAATTACTTAAATGTTTTTAATTGGTATGTCATGATCGAACTACCTTTGTCTAGATGTATGCAAGTTTGTCGACAGCTATTCAAATCCATCTTTCTTTCTTTACAAACTGCCTTTCGTTCTGTGTAACTGATTTCTCTTAGCTAAACGTATTTCAATGTAGTGCTATTTTTTATGTGCTGACCTTTGTCTGGGCTTCTCCAAATTTGATCGATTCGAATATACATTTGAGTTTGCTATAGTTTCTCAGTCTATGTACCTGCCACAGTTTGGTTTACTTTATTTGGTTCGCCGGGAATATTTACAGGTTTCCCAATACATGCGCATGTATTTACATGTATGTTTTTTCATATAAACGTGTATAAGTTTGTCTGGGCTGATTTGCAAACATCCAATTCTGTTTGGTTCGATGTGCTTCTTTTTCTCCGTGTCTGATTCAAAGTCTTCTAACACATATATAGATACATGTTCACGGTTCTCAGGGGATGATGTTATGAATATGCTTCTTTGGATCTGGCCATCTGCATCTGAGTGTTTGATATGATTCTGGATCTGAGTCATTATCTCACTATCTGGATATGATGTCCTGGGTTTGGTTCTTCATCTTAGTAGCATTGTGGTTCCGATTCTCATTATTTGTCATACGCCCAACTCGTAATACGAATCTTAGTTCCATTCCAAATGCCCTATTAGTTCTTACGCTGTGCCTTCGCATTATTATGATTAGTCTTAGTCTTACTCTTATTACGCGTACTAGTATTGTTATGTTTCTGTTCTCCTCTCTCTACTATCCTGTTTATCGCAAGTATGATGATTACTCTGCGAATTTGTATTCGCAGTGTTAATCATAGTCTTACGTTTGTTCATCCGAATTGTTATTCGTAGTGCCTTGCCGTGGTAATGCTGTTTTCATTGACATGTTTTGTTTTAAATTAGTGACGTTCTTAGTTTCAGCCGTATGCAGATTCGTATGCGCAGTATTATTCTCATGCGCATGTTCTTTATTACTCCAATGTTTACCCAATTTCATGTTCATGTCCTTATCTTCATAAATGTGTTCCGTATGTTTCTTTTATATCTTCCTCCAGCTAATGTTCTCATTCGTGTTCAGATTAGTAGTATTATTTGTATTAGTATCCGTGCTCTCGGTCGTACTCTTATTCTTAATCTTAGTCATCGTCCGTATGAGAGGAGGAGGAGGAAGAGGAGTAGGAGGAGGAGGAGAAGGAGGTTGAGGAGGAGGAGGGGGAAAAGGAGGAGGAGGAGCACGAGGAGGAGGAGGAGGAGGAGGAGAAGGAGGAGGAGGAGGAGGAAGAGGAGGAGAAGTAGGAGGAGGAGGGGGAGGAGGAGGAACAGAAACAAAAGGAGGAGGAGGAGGAGGAGAAGGAAGAAGAGGAGGATGAAAAGGGGGAGGAGGAGGAGGAGGAGGAGGAGGAGGAGGAGGGAGGAGGACGAGGCGGAGGAGGAGGAGGAGGAGAACGAGGAGGAGGAAGAGAATCAGGAGGAGGTCCTCCTGATGATGATGATGATGATGATGATGATGATGATGATGATGATGATGATGATGATGATGGTGATGGTGGTGGTGGTGGTGATCGATTATTGCAGATTCTTCCGATTTGTCCCACATTCTTCCAGATTCGTCCTGATGTTCCCGAATTCTCCCAGACGCCATCAGGTTCTCGCAGATTTCTGCGGGTCGTCCGGCAAGCGCCCAAGCGTCAAGCGCCGGCACGATTTTAATGAGAAGAGGGGCACGGCACGTCATGGCACACGAGCGCGGCACGGCAAGGAACACACGAGCACGGCACTGCACGCGGCAACTCCCTTCGCGTCCCAGAAACCAGGCATGGCACGGCGCACGATCACGGCACAGGAGCATGGCAGGACACGGCACTCGGGCGACAAATTTTTCGCATCCCAGAAACCAGGCACGGCACGGCAACGGCACGTCACGGCACGCGAGCGAAAAATTCCGCATCCCAGAAATTAGATTAGGGTTCGACAAGTTCGGATATGACTTGGTTCGACAGGGTTCGAAGCAGAGACGGATGCTTTGTCAGGACTAAGTGTTTTATCAGTTGCGTCATGCTGGAGCCAGAATGGACGCTTCCATCTGTAGACATGTAAACATAATATTACTTTATCCGCCCCCCTCCCAGGGCTCCGACCCGCGCGTCGATGACATCGCACGCCTTTCCTGGTACCGCCCTCCCGGGCCGGCCCTCCCGGGCCTTCAGGAGACCCCCATGGAGAGCCTCGGGACGCTTTACTCCTGGGCTTCCCAGGCGGCCCCTGGAAGCCTCGGGACGGCCCAGAACGCTTCCGAAACAGCCCAACAGGGCTCTGAGGCTCCCACGGGCACCCAGGAGGGCGCCAAGAAACTTCCAACAGATGTTCAAAACCGTCCAACAGAGCTACGAGAAA